AATGACCGGTGCAAACTCCGCCCTGAATCTGGTAGAGAAATCAGTCCAGGTCATAGCATCCAACGCCGCATCATCCCCGATGGCGTGTCCGACCTCCTCCCACCAGTCTCGTGCCCTGTCCTTTAGAAGACAAGACGCCAATCTAACCTTGTCCCCCTCGGGACATCTGCTAGTGCGGAATGCGTTGGCCACATCCGCCAACCATCTGGTACTCGCTATGGGGTCCCGCGCCCCATGATAGTCGGGAGCTCCGCACGCCCTGAACTCCCTGAATGTAAGAGTGCGCGACCCCATCACGGCCGCCATCTCAGCCCGGAAAGTACTCAGTCTCTCATCCATCATCTCCAAAATACCCTCCTTGATCGAACCGAAGATCACAGGAGTCTGCTCCAATATGATGCGGGTAACCTCAGAAGAAAGGAACTCTCTGGTCTGCTCATCCATCTGCCCGACCTCCGGGCCTGATCCCGATCCTGATCCCCCTCCGGCATCTGAGCTGCCGCATGCTGGTCTCGGGCGCAAAACTACCATTCTGAAACATATCATAACAACATCAGAACATTGAATTATCTCAAGGGATCATGACACTACTACTAGCTTCCTGGTTTTGTCTTGGCCTTCCTTGATTCGAGTACGGATCCTCTGCTTTCAGTAGTACGGGCCCATACTACCTTCCACATCTATCCGTACTTTCCTCAAGAACTGCCTTGACTCCACCACGTCACTTCTACTACTGCTATTCTCTGCTACTCTCATCCTAGGCTTGCCCTAGGAAAATCTCAGGCTCAACACAACTGGTCCTCAGCTGCTGAAGGTTTCCTCATAACGCCAATTAGTCATTACCTAAACACCATCACATGTGATGAGGATCAGATAATCCTTCGAGTAAAAGACCCGTTCCTATAACGGTTGGACTCAAACAAGAGCTGCGCAATAGGGCCAGTTCCAGTACTCTGAGATTATTCAATCCTAGTCACATGTGGTGTGACGTGTTCACCTAATGGCTAACTCCCATCACTCGGAACCCCACTAAGCACAAAGCAAGCAGCATTCGGACACGAAAAACAGACTCAGGCAAAACTATTCTTATAACAAGAAACTGCACTAGCATAGAATGCTAAGCTCGTACTATCAGGCATAACCTAAACAGGCTATCCTACTGTCTATTCAATTCTAGCATGCAATACTCATAAAGCTGTAACACATAAACAGGCACATAAGGCATTCTCCTAGATCCTTAGCCCTATACTAGCATGTTGTTCTACTGAAACTGAAACTGAACAAATAACTTGTATGGGTAATTTGGGAGTACTTACTTGAGCTCGGCTGACCGCATGCACACACCTCTATCTTGTTTAAAAACAATTCTTTCTTTCTAAGTGCTTTCAAAATTCTTTTTGTAAAACGTTTTTATCTTACTAAAATCTTTTGTTTCCCTTAGTTTGAGTTCAGATACCCCCGGAAGTGTATCCGAATCCCTCAAACCAGGGCTCTGATACCAACTTGAAACGACCCAAAAACACGACCCAAAAATTTTCGTTTTTCCATATAATCAAAACCATAATATAAGTATCATAACATAAACACATGCGATGTATCCCCAAAACATAATAAAATATTGTGCGGAAGACTGTATCATACTACATCAACTCAAAACATCAAGAGACATCCCAGGATAAAATCATGCTGCGGTGTGTGCGATGCTGTCACCCCGAGCTCTTCCTTTTGCTTGCGGAAGTACCTGAAACCAAAACTGAAACTGTAAACACGAAGCTTAGTGAGCTCCCCCCAAACTACCACATACCATACAATAACATATAAACACATATTGGGCCTTGCCCACTGCATCGGGCCGAAGCCCGGAAACTGCATCGGACCGAAGTCCGGAACTGACTGCATCGGACCGAAGTCCGGAACTGACTGGGACCTTGTCCCCTGCATCGGACCGAAGTCCGGAACTAACTGCATCGGACCGAAGTCCGGAACTGACTGGGACCTTGTCCCCTGCATCGGACCGAAGTCCGGAACTGACTGGGACCTTGTCCCCTGCATCGGACCGAAGTCCGGAACTAACTGCATCGGACCGAAGTTCGGAACTGCCTGGGACCTTGTCCCCTGCATCGGACCGAAGTCCGGAACTAACTGCATCGGACCGAAGTCCGAAACTGTCTGACTGATCATGGCATGGCATAACACATCAACTAGCATAACACATATACGACATGCTACATCGGGCCGTGGCCCGGAACACATAATACTTAACACATAAAACATAGCACACAAAACCTGTTCGAACCACGAAGGCATCGAACATACTAACTGCTGCATCGGACCTCAATCCGGAAACTACTGCTAACTGAACGGGCCGGCATTGTGGCCTTAGACCCGTTCCTACTGGAAGGAAACTCACCTCGTAAGCTGGTTGCTGAGTGTGTGGCTCGGAAAGCTAACGGCGGCTGCTCCTGAATCTCCTCGGCTCAATAAACTCTGATTTGGCCTTGGATCTTTGCACTCCAACCCTTCTCCTTGCTTCTTCCTTCTTCTCCTTCTTCACACCGGGAACGGGTTGTTACAATTTCAATAGTGTAAACTAATATTAAACATATTATGTGACGTCGAACTAGGGTATCCAACTTGTTATTTATGTTTAGGTGATTGTTTTGTAACTACAACATATCGAGTCCAGATAATAACATATGGACATCATATAGTGTTGAAATTCACTTTAAGATAAATAAAAAATTATTGTCCCATTCATGATTATTGTCCTATTATCGATGAGCACGTCACATCGTTACATTATTAAATACTAGCAAAAAAAAAAAAAAAAAAAAAAAAAAAAAAAAAAAAAAAAAGCTTAAAGATGCTAAAAAGTAAAAATACACATGGAAACAGCTACTTACAAACACGATAAGACAACCAAACAATAAAGAGCAATGCGGTCATTTCCAGACTCCAACCACTGTTTTCCACCACAGACCGCGGCTCCTCCGGCGATTTGAATGCCAACAAAGTAATGAAATGACCAAAATACCCCTCCAGTAACATACTAAACAAGATGGATAACTCCAAAAAAAAAAAAAAAAAAAAAAAAAGGCATTTTGGAAAGAACTATTTATTTCAGCCGGAAGAAGTTCCTCCGTTCAACATTTCTCTAAATTTTTTAAATGAATCAATCCTTTGCAGTTGTAGTTGTTGCTTAAACCTTCTAATAAAATCATCAGCTCTTGCATCCACGCTTTCGTCATGCACCCCAACCGATGCTTTCATCGTCTCCGGCCGCCTTCGCTCGACTTCCTCTTTGTCATCGTCGGATTCCGCCACCCTCCTCTCGCTATGCGATTTTGTTAGATTTGTCGATGGTTTCTTCATCGGTATCACACGTGAATCCTTTGACATGTTACTTGTGACGTTGTGGTCATGAAATGGATCTTGATGTGGGTCCAGGTCGATGTCTGAACGTTGATCGTGGCTAGAGAATGTGTCACCGGAATGATGATCGGAGTTTAAAAGGGACGGGAGTTTGAACGACTTGACTCGGTCCAACAACGAATGAACTCGAGATGGTTCACCTATTGAGTTACCGGGTTGTTCTGATTCGGCGGAGAACTTGATCGACATGACTCGCTCCAAAATCGATGGAACCCGGGCGAGATGTCTAGTTGAGTCATCATGAGTTTGTTCCGACTCATTTTGGTGTTGTTCGTGCAACTGATCTACAGGAGCTGTGTAGAAAGAATTGAAAGAGAAATCCATGGACTTGACTCGTTGCAAGAAAGACGGAGCTCGGTAGAGTTGATTTGGTGAGCTGTACCCAGTGGAATCATATTGAACCCTATGATCGTCATCATGTGATTCTGCGGTGTTGTAGAAAGATGATAAATTCACAGACTTGACTCGCTCAAGAAACGAGGGAGATCGAGCGAGTTGACTTTGTAAATTATGGGGATGGTGATTGTGAGAATTGAAGTTTGAAGCTATGAAGATGGTGGCGATTATGAGGTTAAGAACACAGAAAAGAACAGTGGATGTGGACCAAGTCGCCATGGAAGCCCACATGGAAGCTATAGCCATCGATGCACCATCTCTGAGCATTTCTTCTTCTTGTTCTTCACTCTCAAGTGTTTAGTTGCATAGGATGGAGAAGAAGACGATTCTGAAACTGTGCGTATTTATGGAGGAGAGATAGAAATGCATTGAACATGTGTTTTATATAGTACAATGTCTATAAATACGTGGTGTGGATAATTTAAAAGTCTTGCTGGTAGGTAAATAGAATCCTGTGTTCACATGAGTAAAGACAAATATGGGTCATACCCATGGGATCGTTTTCTTATTGTAATTTGTGTCGTAGACTTTTATAGTCGTCTTCAATTTTTTATTATAATTTGATTTTTCAAGATAAAAGTTTACGCTTATGGAAATGAGTAACTATTGATGTGATTAGTAAATCGTTTGAGACTCCACAATCCACATACGGCGTGTTTGGCACGGAGCTTTTGAAAGCGTTTGGGAGCTTCTAGCTTTTAGTTTTTGACAAAACGCTCTAGTTTAAACAAAAAACTTCGTTTGGCAGTACGAGCGTTTAGCTTTTAGTTTTAACAAAACGCTCCGATTCTAAAAGCTACTTCATCTAGCTTTTAACAAAACGCTCCGGAGCTTTTGAAATCAATTTCCATAATTACCCTTAAAAATATATTTATATATATTTTTTATTTTTAATAAATTGTCCTTTTATGTAATTTTATATATTTCAAAAGCTTCCAGCTACTTTTGCCAAACATTCATATAACAAATAAAAGCTACAGCTTCCCGCTACCAGCTACCAGTTACACGCTACCAGCTACCCGGAAACGAAGAGGATACGTCAAGTGGGAACAAGAAACTCAAATTTGGAACCATCCCGGGCAAATGACTCTAAAAGCTAACTAACTTATATGTTTGAACAATTTTATAATGCATTTAAGTATTTATTAAGGAAAATCTTGATTAAACATGTGCATTTCATTATTATATTTACATTTTCAATCAAATGATTTAACGTATCATGGATTCTAGACAAGTCTACAAACAAGTGGAATTACAACTGCTGTGATTTTTTAGTTTACTTAGCTTTAAGATCAAATTCATGGGATAAGATACAACATCAATATGTTCAATAGCATGCAGCTTTTGCAGTCACATCACTATAATATACCTTGAGGTAACGTTTATGCTGATAAATATACCTCTTATACACAATCATATCCTTTTATATAAAGGTGTTGACAGCTAACCACAGTAAGCAAAGCATAGACCATGTTTTAACGAAGTTACCTCTCTGAAACAATCTTCATATACGTTATCGCCAAAGAAGATTGCAGTCTTTGGTAATTTTGCAACTTTAATTTTATTTAATTTTTCGGGAAAAATGACTCATAAGGGTAACCAACTGTTGAGTTTGTTCTCATTTGTTTCATTTACTTTTTTTGTACTCAATATACCATCAAATTTGTTGTTTGTGTTCACCAAAACCCTTTAACCGGCTATCACAGAAAAAAAAAGCCGATCAAAATGGTTATTATGAACACAAACAACAAGTTCGATGGTATATTGAGTACAAAAAAAAGATATTGACCAAATGAAATCAAACGCAACAGTTAATTACCATCAAGAATCATTTTCCCTCTAAACTATCCTCAATTTAATTTAAAATTGCTCTAAGTCGGTTAGTCGTACATAATCAAAATATCAAGTTTTACTCGTATTCTTATTTCTATAGAATAATGACATATAAACATCCTAATTCCTTTATTTAATCATTCTATTTATTTTAACATTTGTTTTAATCTAATAAATAGAAAAAAAATATATAGAAACAAAAAAGTAGAAAACTTTTTTTTTGAACGGCGAGCAATAACATTAGCGCAAAGCAAAAAGACTTAAGCAAGAAGCTTAAGCAAAATACAAAGAGTCAAACCGAGTATAACAGAACATTTGTAATAGGAGAAGTACACCAAATCGATCAATCAAGATAACCTAACTTTGATCTAAATTTAATCCAATTAAATGTGCTAATGCAAATATTATCCGCCAAAAAGCATCGAAGCTTGTCGAACGTTCCTGTAAATAATATCATTACGCACTTTCCAAATGACCCATAAGGTGGAATAAGTAATCGTCAACTTAAGCTTTTGATTTTTTTCATCAGCCTTAGAATTCAACATCTCCAGAAGATCCTCGCACGAATCGGGAGGATTCTTGATAATCGCAGCCCACCCCACAAGCCAACTCCATAAAACCTTCACTACATCACAGTTAAAGAAAATATGATCAAGAGTCTCGACGCTAATTTAACAGAAAGGGCATAAAGAGGGATGAACATTAATATCGCGGTTCAAAAGGTTTTGAAAGAGAGGGATCGTGTTTTTAAAATAATCTCCAAACGAAACAACTAATTTTTAAAGGGATCCAATTCAACCACTTGAAAGAATTCTCCCCAACACTATCATGTTTATCAATCAAGGCACGAAGCGCTTTAACAGATAAACCACTAGCACCATCACCATTTCAACGCCAGTTGTCCGTTTCACCAGCAAACTGAAAATTGTCAAGCAAAACAATTAAATACGAAAATTGGGCAGCCTCCCTACCTCTCCTAAGATGCGTGGACTGACTCCAAGTCCACCTTGAATCAACATCGTTTTCATTGTTGCGTCTATCTAAAACAAGACAATCTTTGTTTGTCTCTAAAGAATACAAATTCGGAAATAAGTCTTTCAAAGGAATATCTCCACACCAAACATCTTTCCAGAAATAAGTGTAATTATCCTCTCCAACAACCCTCTTAAAAAGCCTAGAAAAGGACAAACCCTTATCATGCAAGTCAACATCAATTTGAGATATACTTAGCCACACACCTTTTATGGTATTCTTAGCAATAGGTTTATCATCAATGAGTTTTAATTTATGGATTGACTTAATTCATGAAGACCAAAAGGAATTACCTCCATTTTTTAACCTCCACCACCATTTGGCAAGAAGAGCCAAATTAGCCGACTCGAGAGAACCCACACCAAGACCACCCTCTTTCTTAGGTTTAGTGACCAAATCCCAAGAAACCCAATTTATTTTCCTCTTTTCACCATCACCGCCCCAAAGAAACCTCCTTCTAATACCATGAAGCATAAGAATGATATTCCTTGGAGCTCTAAATATCAAAAATTAATAGAGAGGCAAACTATTTAAGACTGAATTCACAAGAGTGAGATGACCACCAAAAGACAATGCTTTCGCCTTCCAATTCAATAACCTCTTCTTAAATTTCTCCACTACTGGATTCAATTTTTGGCAAGTTTCATATTCCCCCCCCCCCCCCCCCCCACCGAAAGGCCAAGATAAATAAACGGAAAAGAAGCAGGTTCATATTTGATTTCTCTTTTCTTAAATTATAGATGAAAAGGAGGGTGTTTGGAACGAGTTCTTACGATGTTTAAAATAAATAAATAAATAAAAACTTTGTTTGATAGTAGAATCATTGAGTTTTTATTTTAATCAAAATTATTTGAATCTAAAAGCTATTTTAAAGAACTTTTAGGAGTTTTTTTTCTATCTTTCAGAGCTTTTAAGTTTTAGTTTTTAATTAATTTTATGCATATAAGAGTTAGCAGCTATTTTCGCCCAACACTTATGTATAAATAGAAGTTATAGCTTCCAGTTGCCAACTAGTTAGCCAAACACACCCATAGTCAATTTCGATATGCTCGTTTCAGCTAGTGACGACTTTTAGGTAGATGCAACATAGACAACCATCTACGAACCAAAATCTTCGAGGGCACGTAATAATTTTGTGAAAACGTGAAGACGCTACTTTTATGTTATTATTCTGATATGACTTTTGTATATGTGTTATATTGTTATAATTCTAATGTGAATATTAAACGTACGTTTATTCATATATTCATTTGTCAAAAGTTATAATGTGAATATTAACGTATAATTATTCATATACTAATTACCGAATAATGACATAAAACAATATGTATAAGATTAAGGACATAATAATAACATAAAAGTAGTGTTTTCACATCTTCACTTTATTTACTGCCCTCATATAAGTCAAAATATTGTATGCTAGTTGCATAATAAGTGAATTTAAACAAATGAAGTAAAGCTGGTATGAAAGGAAAAGACATATGAAGAACTATATGTTTAAAATGTTTAAACTAAAAGAATAGTCATAGTTTTCATTACGAGACTACTCTTGTGTATTAGATATCACAAAGCTCATATTTGTAAAGGAACTTGTACATAACAAATGGGACAATAAAGCATCATGTGTTAGTATAAGCTGAATCCAGTAGAGGTTTTAGATCCGTACTTTGACAAAATACATCTTAATTACATTCTACTATTCCATATAAAACACAAAATAAACAAAGTCAACTAATAAATTTGAAGCTCTGCAAGTCTTCGGAAATAAAGGGGAATCCTTTAGATTGCCAGTTCAACAGAGACAATGACTTCAGATGAGTGAAGGTCACTTTCTTGCTACAACAATCTCTCCCTACGTAATCATAGTTGCAATTTCTCATATTCGTTGTTGAAAAAGTTGGTAGCTATATCGATCCATCTTTTAAGTGCAATCCACCACAACTATTCACATACTATTCAAGTCTTCAACTTCACATTCCTTTTCTTTGAGTAGAGAGAAATATAAATCATTTTCTTCAAATACTTGTCCAAATGCAAGTGTTTCTCGTTGACCCTTAAAGGACCTTAGGACTATTTTTGATTGACATATAGATAAGTATAAATTTAGGTCTATAAGTTGGTCCTCACTGAGATGTTTCAGTGTATTCTAATTTTGTATTTGGATGCTTGGGAGGAGTATCCCATAAGATTTTGTAAAGCTTAATGTTCCTTTATTTGAACTTGATTGCAAAATTTGATGAAATTTATAAGCTGAATGCAAGGAAATATGGCTTAGTTGTCATTGAAGGCTTTGTTTTGAAAGTGAAGTCCATGTGTTAGGAGATCCATAAGATTCACCAACAAATAATTAGCTTCAAATATAGCATATTCTTTGCCATTGCTTTCAGGTTATCTTAACATGT